TCCTCCCCGGTGAAGGAGGCGATGGGGGATCTGACGGCAGATCCCGCCGAGGGGTTTCCCCACCAACGAGCCGAGGTTCTGTCTTTATATCCCTTTGCCGCGGCCGGGCTGCCTATTTTTTTTATTTTTTTATATATATTTTTTTTTTTTAACGTAGGGGTTCCCCTTCCCTGTGCCGGTGGGTGTTGCCCAAAGCGGAAGGAGAAAACGCCTTTTCCCACTCCCCCGTAACACGTGCGATTCCCGGGGAATAGCGAACCCAAGAACGAGCGAACCGGTGTTTGGGCTGCCAAAAAAAAAAACACCAAAAAAACCAAACAACTATACGTTGGTTTTTGAGGCCGAGCCGTCCGCGTGGCCAAATTGCTGGGTTTTAGTCAAAAAAAAACCAAAACCCCAAAAAACAAACAAACCAAAACCACCTTGATTTGCTCACTCCGGGCGTAACCTACCGCCGGTCCGGATGTTCTGCCCGGTAGAACTAGAAACCCCGTTTTCCTTAACTTTTGCTGGATTTTTCTGCATTTCCTACAGAAAGATTGTAAGTAAAATAGATGAAGACAAAGACGGGTTTGTAACTGTGGAAGAGCTGAAAGACTGGATTAAGTTTGCACAAAAGCGCTGGATTTACGAGGATGTAGAGCGGCAGTGGAAAGGGCACGACCTCAATGAGGACGGCCTCATTTCTTGGGAGGAATATAAAAATGCCACCTACGGCTACATCTTAGGTAGGTCTCGACTCACGGGATACAAACTTTGCGGAGCCGGCGCTTGAAACCTGCTGTTTTGTTTTTGTAGAATGATTGTAGATAAGATAGACACGGATAAGGATGGGTTTGTGACGGAGGGGGAGCTGAAAGCCTGGATTAAGAAGGCCCAGAAGAAATACGTGTATGACAGTGTCGAACGCCAGTGGCAGGAGTTTGACATGAATCAAGATGGATTTATCTCCTGGGATGAGTACAGGAACGTGACGTATGGCACTTACCTCGGTAAGGGGCGAGGTGTCCCGTCTGGTGGTGGTCTCGAATCAATAAAGCAGAAGTACGATGGAACACAGCGGGAGCTCTCGCCTCATCCCCCAAAGCCTCGAAATTGAAATTTAAAAGAAAAACGGCAATAAATCTCCGAATTCACCTTCTGTTGGCGTAATCTCAGGGCAAACCAAACCAAAACCAAAAAAACGATGGGGAAGCAAACAACAACCCCGAAGGTGAAGTTCGCCGTCGACGCGCGGCTCCGTAACTCTGCTTTATTGATGCGCTTAATTGCGACAAATCAGCTGGGAACCGGAATCGCGGGCGCCGATGTGACGGAAGGCGCAGGGGCGGATGGGTTTGGGTTTGGTGGTTTTGTGGGTTTTTTTTTTTGGTTTTTTTTTTTGGCCTTCCAACTTTTGAAGCTCGAGTGGTTGCCCAGGAGAGGAGTTCTGTAATCCCTGGCTTCCCACCCCAAATATTTATGGACAGCCCAGATCCTGAAGCTTTTGCGAAAGGCGTGGGGAAGGCTGAGCAGTGCAGTGCCAGGGCTGTGCTGGCAGCAGGGGCACAGCATCGGGCTGGTGGCACCGGTCTCTGTTTATTTGGGGGGCTTTGTCTCTTCTTTCATATGTGTTTTGCTGGGATGCTATTAACTAAAGACCAACTTCTTCAGCTTATCATGGGTCCTTCAGGTGTTTTGTGTTTTGTAGGCTGGTTATCTGAAAATGGTGTTTTTTCCCACAAAGGTTGGATTTTTCAGGAGGGTGGCGTGTGCGTTTCTCAATACAGGGCTGAAATCGCGTTGTGTTCAGTGCAAACAATTTATTTTCTCACATGGCACTGTGTGCTTGCATGCACCTAGCTGGTTTTGGTAGAAGCTTAACACTTCCCACACCCGCAGATATGATCCTGTGGTTGGGTCCAGGTCTCCTGCATTTGGGGCCTGGTTTGACTACGATGGGCCATGGTTGGATGCAGAAAAAAGAGCTGAGGTTTGGTTCCTTGACCCATGAAATGGGGCTGGAAATAAGAATATAGGTAAAAAAGACTTTATTCATCATTGCAAGTGCTTTGAGCATTTTGCTGAGGGAGTTTGAAGGCTGGGCATGAATTTTCAGTCTCTCTCTGGGTTTTGCCTAATTTTTGTCATGTTTGCCTTTGTGTGTTCCACCTTGGGCTACCTTTGACCAAAGGTGATCGAGAGGTTGTGCTGCAGAGGTACCAGCTTCTCCCAGGCTCTCCTCTGTATCCTGGCACATCCCGGCAGGCAGCGATGCTTCCCCTCATCCGAGAGTCGCTGGGGCTCCACGGCTGCAGATGAAAGATTCGCCCTGCAGCGAGGCATCCCTCTCTTCCTCGGGGCAAATGCCTCGAAGGGCAGAGCACGCCGGAGGAACTTCCAACTTTTGAAGCTCGAGCCGCCGTTGGCGCTCGGTACCCTCCGAAAGACGCCGCGCTCACCCTGCGGCTGTAGAAACCCCGTTCTTCTGAGGGAGGGTGGGGTGTGTGCGCGCTCCCTTCCTAAATCCACCGAGATGGTTTTAAGCCCCTTTTCCCCGAGTCCCGCTTTGGCTTCTCCGCTTGTCCCGCCCCTAGTTTTTAGACCCCCCCGAAAGTGTAGATTTTGGCCCGGGAGGTGGGTGGGCAGCGAGGACGGAAACCCACCTCGGGGGAGGAGCGAGGTAAGAAGAAGCTCTTCTGGGGTTAAACCATTAGGGAGAAAAAAAAAAAAATAAGACCCGTTTCTCTGGCAGTCGGTCCCGCCTCCTGGAACGCTGACATATATGGGGTGATGAGCTACGGCTCGAAAGCATGAAATAAAGTTTAATTTCCTTAAAGATTTCCAAAGATAGTCAAATGCTGCCCGCGACGTATGGAGGTTTGTTGCCTCCTGGTTCGCTGCCTCGTGCCTCTTCCCTCGGGCTGTTTCTTGGAGGAGCCGGAGGGAGACGGAAGCTGGCCGTGCCCGCGGCTGGGGAAATCGCCTTCCCCAAAACCTCGTCGGGGCTCAATTTGCCGTTAAGAACCTAATTATCGAGATGCGCGGAACGCCCAGCCCGTCTGCCCCTTCCAATCCAGCCTTCGAGGGGGAGAAGAGGCTTTTATCACGCTTTTTTGGAGGCAGTGGCATTTAGGACTTGCAGGATTAGGATATCTTTTTTTTTTTTTTTTTTTTAAAAAAAAGACACCTTAATGAGGAAAAAAACCCCCAAAACTTAATGAGAAAACAATTTCTCGTGCTTGATTTGTAAGAGAGGGGAGCGCCCGCCCCCCCCGTCGCGCGCGATACGCCCTAACCGTCTCGCCAACCTGAGCCGGGGGATCCGGCGTTGGCGGCCGAACGTCCTGGGCTCATCCTCATAAAAACCTTATTCTAGCCCCGCTCCCACCTCCTTTTATCCATACGGAATGCCGGGAAGATCCCAACCACCCCCTTCTCCCCAGCAGAGCCGTGTCGGCCTTAACGCTTTGGCTCCGCGTCCTTTTTTTTATCAGCGGGAATTGTTTTTTTTTTTTTCAACCCCCGACTCCTTTTCGCTGAAATAATCTCATCCCTCATCCTTCTCCTCTCCTTTCTCCGGCCGGAATGTTGCCGGGAGAAAAAAAAACAAGAAAAAAAAACCAAAAAAAAAAACCCAACCAAAAACAAAACCCCAAACCAAACCCTTTGGAAATGCCCCCGGAGAGTTTGACGCGCGGCCAAGAGGTCGGCCGATCCCTTCGTGGAGTTAAGAACGTCCCTCTCCCGGCGCGTGGGAGCCGAGGTGCCGCCCATCTCTTGCCGCTTTGCTCGGGAGTTGAGAAACGTTCGCTTTTTGTCAGCAAAAAGAAATGTTGGGTTTGTCCGTTTTGTTTAAAAAAACCCAACCAACCAAAAAAAAAGAAAGACCAAAAAACCCAACGCTTGAGCGCTGTGTGAGTCACGGGGTTGCGCCCAGGGCTGCGATAAAGCAGCTCGGTGCACATCACCGGCTGTTTCTGCGGGTGGGAATTCTCCTCTCCATATTTTTGCCGTGAAGAGCTTCGCCGTAAAGCGGAACTCCCTTTAAAACCTTCCAAATAAGAAGATAATACTGTAATACCGCGGATTTTCTTTTTGGTCTTTGGTCCCGCCGCGACAAGCGAGCGCGGTGGGTGGGTGGTGAAACCAGAAACGCTCGCAGAGGTTATCAAATCCAGCGCGCGGCTTCGCTGCCGGCGGGTGGGCGGCCCGCGGTCGCTCCCTTCCATTCCCCCCCCCCGACGCCCCGCGAAATGTTTCGTTGATGCCGCCCAGTTCGGGGCTTAAAACGCCTAAGCGGTTTTGGGTGGCTTTACCCCTTTGTAACCAACCACCCAAAACTCCAAAACGGGGGGAACCGCCTCTGTTAAAAGAAATTGCTTTTAATTTGGGCTTTTAGCTTGTCCCCATCCCGAGGCTTTTATTTGCTCTCCCCGAGGCGAAAGAAGAAGAAACTTTAGGTTTAATTGTGCCCTGGAGGTGACTTAAAATAAAACCTCTTCACAACGAGGAGGACTGGGCTGTAGTCTTCCATTTAACGAGGAGGACTGGGCTGTAGTCTTCCATTTAACGAGGAGGACCGGGCTGTAGTGTTCCATTTAACGAGGAGGACTGGGCTGTAGTCTTCCATTTAACGAGGAGGACCGGGCTGTAGTGTTCCATTTAACGAGGAGGACCAGGCTGTAGCTGTTTAATCCTCTGCCTTTTGTCCTGCATGTAAACAGAGAAGGGAGGGAGCCTTTTTTTAGCCCGGGTCTGGCTCTCGCTTAATTTAACCCCCTGTGAGGATTCGGCTCCGTCCTCCTCCTCCTCCTCCTCCTCCTCCTTCTCCTCCATCGAGAGTTTTCTGTAGGCTCTCAGACAAAGCCGACTGCGGTATCCCGAAGTTTATCTCTAGCTGTTGGCGTAGCTATATCGAGCGGCCATATGCGCCCAGATATTCCCGTTCCGGCGGGCGTCGGGGGATGTTTCGTTGGCTTTGAAGCCGCCCCGGCAGCGGGGAGCAATATCCCCTTACACATTCTCCTCCTAAAATAGTTTGGGCTGAGCCGCCGGGGCTGTGCCGGCCAAAAAAAAAAAAAAAAAAAAAAAAAAGAGGAAGGGCTGGGACCCCACAGGGACAGTGGGAGAAAAGCAGAGCAAAACTTCGCTTTCCTTAAACCTGTCCTTCAAGGACAAGCTGCTCCCCTACAAATGGGGAAGATCCAATTTCATGTCACATTTGGCTTCAAAAAAATTAGATATCATATCTGAGCTAACAGCCAGGCTCCTCGCTACACCGTAGCGCCGCCCAAAGCCATTCCTCCCATTGCCTTCAACACCTCTTTCAAGCCAGGATCAAATGCGACAGGAGCACACTGTCACCACATGGGCAAAGGGGACAGGAGCCACTTAAGAACAGGGACAGACCCAACCTTGCTAAGGACCAAAGGGTGGAAAAGCCAAATAGGCTGCCTTGCCTGGCTTACTGTACAAAGCAGCCATTGGTTGGTTGGTTGGTTTTTTTTTTTCTTAAAAAACCCCAAAAAACAAACCAAACCTAAATTATTGGGGGATTTCCCCATAGACAAGACCCTATTACTTGGTTAGAGAACTTCACACAGCCCCACCACTGTGTATTGAGAAAGTTTTGCTTACAGCACCGGAGGAACGGGGTGGGCTCTGCACACCCAGACTCTCTTTTCTACCATCAGGCTCCTCTTCTCAGCTTAAATCAACAGCAACAGCATCCTCAAAAAAATCTTCATTTCCCACCAAAGTGCAGAAACACCAAGAAAAAGGTCCGTTTCTGAGCTGAGCCCCTGCTCCTCCCAGGCAACTTAAATTAACTGAC